CTTGAATGTACTGCGTGTAAACGTGAGAGGGCTGGTCAGAACTGAAAGTGCACTGCAATTCAAGAATGCAGAGTGACGAACGGTTTATTGCACTCCAATGAACAAACCGGAATGTGCCAGAATCAGGGGAATGGCAAAGATCTCAAAGAAATGAAAAAGAAAAGAACTCGAAACTTGTTTTGGGTTAAAGTCTGAAAACAGGAGCCTCGTCTACAAACTGTAATAAAACAGACGTTAAAAACATAATGAACTCCTACAACCAAAACTCACTGAAAATGACCAAACTGGTCCCATTAAATTGTCTTTGTTTACAGTGCTTAAAAGCAGGGGTGTCAAACATATGGCCCGTGGGCCAAAATCAGCCCGCTATAGAGTTCAATCTGGTCCGCTTGATACATTTTGAAAGTAAGGGACATGGGGGAAAAAAATAAAATAAATTCACGTGCTCACCTGAAAGTTTCAGTTTCAGGGGCTCCGTAGAAGTGGAAGTTTAATGTGACAGTAACTCTGTCAGCATCGGAATGTGGGTGGCAAAAAATATTTGGTCTAATGCCAAATTTTTCAAACTTAGGTCCCTACAGTTTGGTTGTTACTTAAAGCAGTGTTTCACAACCTTTGCACTTATTTACCACTCAAAACTCCCTAGGTGCATCACCAAACTGAATGTCTGGAAAAAAAAAAAATAAACTGAAATATAACGATCTGCTAAATTCAATTTAGTCAGTGTGAAACCTGGGCCTGTTTAGTTGAACATGATGATAATATACTCACAGGAATTGGGTTTTGGGGACAAGAGGATTCAGGTATAACTTTATAGCCCCCCCCCCCTTCTCTATATTATACTATTAAAAGTTTATAATATATTTTTCCTGAAATTTAGGGCGAACAGACTTTGTTTACATAGGAGTAAAAAACCAACATAAAAAGTGAAGGTAAAAACGTCATAGCTTTGACTGAAAACCTGCACATTTTGCATTAGAAAATGAATAATGAAGAGAACCCAATCGTATGGTGGAAACCTGTGTGTGTTCGGCACAGATGAAGACAGAAAAAGTGTTGTGTCGTGAATGCGGTGCGGACGATAAATTAGCGTTGTACTTTGTTTGGTAGCAGAGTCGACGTCAGGTCTAGAGCAGAGTGCACTTTGAAGACTTTTTCTCTGCACCGCTGGTTATCTTCACTTCTCTGCCCATCGGTCCCTGAGGGAAATAAAAAACAAACAAACAAACAAAGAAGATAAATTACAAGTGGAGTCAAACAAAACATACAGAGTGATGGGACACAACCATGGAGTGGGTGAAATAAAACCCTGGAGGCAGAACGTAAACTGAAGATACTTTTTACTGGTGTTTCTGATGTCTGTAAATATTTTGTACAAATAAAAAACTAGGGATGTTTGATATTAAGTTTTTGCCAATATTATCCAAACACAATTTCCGATTCCGATATCAACCAATACCAATATAGTGGGGCAGTGATAAGGTTAAGTGTTGCCTGCTCAATTATTTTCTGCCAGTGGTGAAGTGTTGCCTGCTCAATTATTTTCTGCCCCCTAGAGGACAGAATTAAAATACTGTTGAGCGCCTGGTAATATTTATTTAATTATCTGTACAAACCACTGTAAAAGTTACTGACACCAACATTCTGCATACAATCACCTGATTATTACTGACACCAACATTCTGCACACAATCACCTGATTATTAATATAGATTAATAAAATGAGCTACAATGCTGCCATCTAGTGACCAGAGGGTTGTTTATCGTTCGTAATGCCCTGTGTTCATGTGTTATGAAGGAGTTAAGTTCGTAATGCCCTGTGTTCATGTGTAATGAAGGAGTTAACAGTTACAGATAAAAAAAGATGTCGTTTCTCACTTACTGGTTTTCTGCTGGTTTTCTGTAGAATGTCTCGGGCCAAAGACAGGAAAGACTAAAAGTCAAAGGAGTAAGAGTTAATATTTGGCCTCGTGTTAAATATTGTAAAAATCAAGCCGATCCTGAAGCACTGAGTCAGAGCACGGAGCCGGTGTCACAGCTCACCTCCTCCACATTAATGCTGGACTTTGCACTGGTCTCGAAGAACCTGATACCATGGTCTTTGGCCAGCTGTTGACAGACACACACCAAACCTCATCAACAGCAGGATATGGGCAATTATGGACGTCCTGCTGCACGTCCGTTATAACACAATAAAAACACGAAGAATAATGGGGCGTTCTCATTGGACAGAACCACCTCTAGTCTGGCATGAAGTTTTTTTCTCACTTCGTGATTCACCGATGTCCTTAAAATAACGTGATTACTCTGAAAGTCGGCTCACCTTCTCCCCTACCTCCTTGGAAACCTTCCGCTTCGCCTCGATGTCACATTTATTACCTAGCAACATTCGACTGACTCCAGCTGATGCATTCTGGGAAAGGAAGAATGATATTATTGATCAGGGACAGCTTGAGTTGGGTGAGCGTCAGACTAAAGAGATTAAAGAGCAGATGTTTTAACGTTAGGACTAAAGTGTCTGTCTCACAGCAGCAGACGAAGAAATGTCAATATGAATAAAAAATAAAAACAGTTTCTCTGCCGTATGTGGACCATGGGTCGTCTGGGCCATCGAATTGACCTGAAACAGGTTTTTAAAGGTTTAAATCAGGTTACATTTCATTATTTCTGCCATATTTTTGTGGCAGATACTAAACCACATCCACATACAAGGTTTTAGACAACACAACATTAAATTAATTACGTTTTTAATTACAATTAAAAACAGCATCCCTGGTGGTGTGTTCCAAAAGATACCAAATGTTTAATTACAATTACAATTAAAAACAGCACCCCTGGTGGTGTGTTCCAAAAGATACCACACCACCAGGGTGCAGCAAAGTGCAACCCCATGATCCCGTTTTAAATTCATTGCAGAGGACACGCTGGTTGTTGTGTATATTTACAATGTACATATATACATGCATACATATATATGGATATATAAATATATACATATATTTAACATACATGAATATGTAAATATATATGTATATTGACAAATCAAACTGCGTCCGTCTCAGTTTCCGCTTCTGTAAAACATGGACAAAGTAATGATTGACAGGTGATGCCTTTTGTTACGAAACCTTTTTTAGCTAGCTGCAGCTAACTCCGTCTAGTTAGCGTCTTGTGATGCCAGCTAACTGCTACATTTACGGTTGCCAATTAGACTATATAAACAACAGTGTTTACTTTGCAGTACGTGTAATCCTACACACAATAGGCTGTGAAGATTTTAGAGTTTACTATGTGAGTAACCGCAGGGGGGGAGGGGGGGGGCGTGTGCGGCGAAAATTTGCCAACAGCTGCGTGGACAAACCACATGACTCATGTTTACGCAGACGATTAAGGAAGAATTTCAACACATTTCCTGGTGGTGTTCTCCGTAACGGAGAGGAAATTCACTCACTTCTTTGATGCTTTTCATCCAGTTCTGTATGTTTTCGAAGGATTTGTCGTCCGTGATGTCGTAGACCAGGATGATGCCCTGACACAGGGAGGGAGGGGGGCACGGAGGGAGGGAGGGAGGAAGGAAGAGTCAGTCATCGGTACACACAGAGAACAACTTTTAAGTTTTTGAATTTTACTGTTCGTGCACTGGACAAATGAGCAAATAATCAGGATAAGTCAGTGCTTCTCAAATGGTGGGGCGGGGCCCCCTGTTGGGCCACAGTAAAGTGCCTGGGGGGTTGTGAAGCACTACCAATTAAATATGGGACGCTGGACACACAAGTGTACCACTGCTGTAATGCTTGAACGATAACAAGCCTCCAGCCACTAGGTGGCAGCAACTCATACAGTGGTTTGTACAGATACAAATATACATGTTATCAGGTTCTGAATAGTATTTCAATTTGTGGGGGTGTGGGGGCGAAGACAATTTTGTCCCCGGGTGGTTTGTACAGATACAAATATACATGTTATCAGGTTCTGAATAGTATTTCAATTTGTGGGGGTGTGGGGGCGAAGACAATTCTGTCCCCGGGTGGGGGGGGGCATGACAGAAAATAACTGTGGTGGTGCTAAGTGTTGACGTTAGCCTAGTTGTCCAGCCTACCGGCCCTGTGGTTGGACTGTGCTCACCATGGCTCCTCTGTAGTACGCTGTGGTGATGGTCTTGAACCTCTCCTGTCCTGCTGTGTCCCTGCAGAAGACACCAATTCACATTTTACAAAACTGCAGACCAGACTGTCCGGGGCTGCAGATGCTGCCGTGTGGCGGACATTTCTCAAGTCGCTATGGGAACGCCTTCAAAGTGACATGTGTTGGTTGTCTGTGGCGGCCATGTGTGACGGATTCTTGAACAATATACCCTGTCATAAAGTCTGGGATTCACACAGCAAGAGGGAGGTTCCTCCTTCCTCCCAGGGAGAAAGAAAAAAAAAAGGGCCAAAACGGGGAACAAGACACAGCAACGCAAGTCAGTGTCACAAAAACAAGGCAAACCCAGAGAACACAGAGGCACCGCGTCGTACCAGACTTGGAGTTTGACCTTCTTTCCATCCACTTCAATGGTTTTAACTTTAAAGTCGATGCCTGGAAGATAAGAGAGAGAGAGAGAGAGACAGGAAGGGGAGAAGGAGAGAGAGGGGAGGGGGACAGGGGAGGTGAGGGGGGGGTAAAAAATGAGTTAAATACCTTAGACATGAAGTAAAAACACACCCGCCCACGGGGCACAAAGACGTACAGAAAAAAAATGAGGTCACCCTCACTGTGACCCCCTCAGAGTGAGGGCGAGCTGCACACCCCTGTGACTGTGACAGACAGTGAGGGGCAGAGGAGGGGGGGCGAGGTGGGGGGCTGGGGCGAGGTGGGGGGGGGTCGTCCTGTGTGCATGCCTGAAAACCAACCATTCTTCTGAGATGGCAAAAGAGATAGGAATGAGGGTGGGTGGACCTTCTGGGAGCCAAGTGAGAGGAACGAGATTGAAGGAGAGATGAGGAGGAAGAGGTTCGAGCACACGTTCAAACAGAAGCAGGGAAAAAGAAAAATATAATCCTAGGACAGCATAGACACACAGACGAGTTCAGACATGAACCTGACAGAAACCAGTTTGTGCAGTGAAGAGCATCAAGTTAAGAATAAAAGGTCAGCAAACATTTGTTCACCGCTGCTCACGGTGAGAAAGACTCCCGCAGCTAACGACCACAAACGACCACCGTCCTCTTACCTATGGTCGAAATGTAGGTGGAGTTGAAGTTGTCCTCAGCAAAACGAATGATCAGACAGGTCTTTCCCACCCCGCTGTCGCCGATGAGCAACAATTTGAACAGAAAATCGTACTTTTTCGCCATGGCTGAATCTGGTAGAAGTCAGAGCGGCTGCAGCCCAGAGGAGATGGTCGTGGATCCTCGGTTCAGTAAAAGATCCTCTTCATCGACTGTAGTCTTTGAATCTTTGAATGTTTTTTGACGTAATTCAAACCAAAAAGACTTTTAAAAAAGTGTTGCTGGGTTGACTGTGGATCCTCTTTTCACCTTTCTCCCCCCCTACCGGTGAATTCCGATCCCCCTCAGTTGCTTCACAGCTGCGTTTAAAAAACAAATAAACTCCATCCAAAGTTGGACTGTGTACCGTACAGCGGCGTTTACAGTGAATCTACACCCGATTCATGGACCTCTGCTCTCGGCGTCACTCTCACTCCATCTACACTTCACATACCCGGGTGGCTACGTGTTTCTCCAGCCTCAAACTTTGCTGTCGGCCCAGTTCCCAGATCCGTTGAAAGACTACGTAGTAAGGAACTACTTTCTTCGTGGGAATTGTAGGCTCAGAGTTGCAATATCTCAAAGTTACCACTAGACGGCGCCATTTACCCAGAAACGTAATTGAAACCACCCCCCCAAGAGTGACATGACAGAGATATTGGTCAATTATGTAAAAACGAAAGTTATCAAACGTATTTAATAGTTGTTATATCGCTATGCTTTTACAATTTCCAAACAAAATCTCTTCTGAAGTATTGTAATACATTTTATCGTAAGTTGATATTTGAAAAGGGCGAGACAGCGTTAAGAAACGTAATATTATTTCTTTACGTTTTCAGAAAAAAATAGGAATTAATAAAACAAAAGTAATAATGATTTGTAATGCAGAAATATGTAAACAAATATTTACTAAATAACTAAAAATCAGTAAAACAGTCAAAACACATCCTTAATTTCAACAAGCCCCACAATTTGTAAAATTATAGATTGTTTTTGTCACTTTTTACTACGTTTTGTGAAACGAGAATATGGTTTTATTAATGTTAAAAAAGACCAACGTCGACTGTCTTCTTCTGTGATTTAAGATATAAAGCAGTTTCCGGTGCGTCATCGACAAACAGTTTTTCCTTTTTCCGGTGGTGGAGGTCTAAGCGCACAAACATGCCTGTAAGTAAAACTGTAGATTTTAACATTGTTTTCCGTTGTTACAGACTGTTGTAATCGACATACTTTAACTTAAGTTAGTAAAGTAAAGTATGTAATATGTATACGTAGTTTATAAAGCGGTAATTGCGTTGACGCGACCGCAAAACAAACGTTAAGATTCGACAACCGAGCCAACATGGCGAAGCAGCACGTGGACAAAGGAGCAGCGCTGCCTCGGTGGTTTTATAACGCGTTTTAACACGTTGATCCTCATAATTTAATTAATGGTGTTTTGTTTATAAATGGTGTTATATTAAAGTACACACTTCAACATAGGAAATAGGTTTGCGTTGTGTATTTTACGAATATGTGTACGGTAATGTCGTGTCTTGTTTACTCGGAACTAGAGATAAAAATCGAAAAAGCGAAGATTTTAGATTAATTTAATCTGTACGACGGCGAAAATTTTAGATTAATTTAATCTGTACGACGTTTCTTACCCCTTTCAAACGTGTATGTGACGTCTGTTTAAATCGACATACGTTTTATGTTGAAATTTACTTTTTTCTTCAAAATTACAAATGATTTAAACATAACGAAATACGTTTTTTTTCAGGATCTAGTTTATGTTTACATTTTATTTACTGATAATAAAGTAAGATTCCAGGCTCAGTTTCCTGAAGTTTAAAACGATGGCGTGGTCAAATGGTCATGCTGTTGTCTACTGACCAAAGATTACTTGGAACCGCCCTACAGTTACTGATATCTCAAAGTGCAAGCATCAGCAAAAAAAAAAACAACTTCCATGTTATTCACGGTGCAACGTCTCTATCTTTTAGATGACATACTTTTCTCTCGTCACTAAAACATATCCATTTCAGGAGTCGTATCCGTTTTGAAGTCGCATCACGTACGCTGCAAAAGTTATTACTGAACAACATTGTGTCCCAACATTTTACAGCTCGCGAAGGATTTGTTGCACCCGACCCCAGAGGAGGAAAAGAGGAGACACAAAAAGAAACGTCTGGTGCAGTGTCCTAACTCCTACTTTATGGACGTGAAATGTCCAGGTCTGTTTGTTTACATCAGTCACTCCTCAGTTACAGGACAGCATTTAAAGTAAAATAAAATAAAAATATTTAACACACGTTTGTATATTCCTTTAACAAAATGTGTAAATAAATCTGACATTTGGCCTTAAATAATCTAATTCCATCTTTTGTAAAATCTTTTAAAACATTTTAATTTACTACTATTTTGCCTTTATGTGTTGCCCTTTCATTGTTTTTAATGATAGGGGTGTCAAATAAGGCATACAGCGACACCTGCTGTCATCTGTGTGAAGGGTTTCCACTGACTCTTCAACACCAGTGGCAGCAGGGACAAACAGTGTGTGTGTGTTTGTTAGATCTGCTGACAGATGCTGCTTTTCCTGCTCGGCTGTTTTATCGACGGTGTGTTTTGTTTGCTGCTTCCAGGCTGTTATAAAATCACCACAGTCTTCAGTCACGCCCAGACGGTGGTGCTGTGTGTCGGCTGCTCCACAGTCCTCTGTCAGCCCACGGGAGGCAAGGCCCGTCTCACAGAAGGTAGGGGAATCAAACTGTGTTTGAGTGTTACTTTGACTGTTGACCTAAATGTACTGGGAATCTGGTGTTTACTTTATCAGTGTACAGTAAGTCCATGCGCACGGGTTGGTTGTGTAGTTCACCACTGACTCAGCACTGACCTCCATTTTGTCTTTTACACCGAGCTTGCTGAATTTGCATTAAACTGAAAATAAAAACTGAAATAATTTACATGTAAAATAATTTAAAGTTAAATGATTTAAATGATTATGAAATACACATTGTGACGCGCCCCTCACTTTGAGAACCACCGGCTAGTAGAATTATGTTGAATGAACTAAAGTCTAAGACAAGTGTGTCATGGACACACTCGCCTTTGTGTTGCCCTCTCATTGATATCGTAATGAACGGGGTGTCAACTAAGGCGTACAGTGACCCCCTCTGGTTGTGACAGAAATTCATCTCCACTGATCCATTTCTACACTGAACCACAGGCACAAACAAACACCTGCATTCTTCCTAAAGTAAAGAAGGAACAGTTTCTCAGTCACTCGTGAGAAATCAACCGTTTTTCTGAAGGAACATTCAGGAAGTGATTGCGCGCTCCACCGCCCGTTCTCTGCTCGCTGCCGTGGAAACCAAGGCCTTCTGAATGAGTTACTGTGGCTGCAGCTGTAACCCTTGGCACCGACACTATTGTTACTGTAGGTGATTCTGTCTTTGAAAAGAGACGGATCAGAGGCAGGAAGCTCAGTCTGTCACATGTTCCACCAGAGTCTGTGCATCAGGTTGTCGATGGTTCAGTGAACCAGGTGACCATGAGCAGACTGTCAGACCAGATACCAGTCTGGTATGAACATATAACATATATGTTTGCATATATATATACATACACATACATACATACAAATCAGCATCCAAATACAGCTGTGTTCAAACGCCAGGCATTAAAAAAATGCCACCATTATATGGCATTACATGTAAGGAGGTAACAGTTTGCTGGTTCAATTCCCGATCTCTTTGTATGGAGTTTGTCAGTTTCTTTAGTCCCCCATCCCAAAAACATGCAGGATTAGGTCAAAATTTGATGTTTTATATAAAGTATTACGAGAGTATTACTGCAGTACTGACTAATATTTTTTCACAGGTACTCGGGAAGGTTCTCAGTGATATAACTTAACGTTCTCCTCTTGTTCTGCAGGCTGTTCATTCAGGAGGAAACAGCACTAGTGGACCAGGCTGTGGCCTGAAAACCACTGACAAGGAAAGAAATAAAGGAAAAAGTTGACGGACATCAAGTGACGTGGCCACGGAGCTGACGGACGACAGCGCGGGGTTAAAATCACGTCGTCGATCAGAAACGCTGGGACTCGTTTTAAACAAAACATCGATTCTGTTAATAACCGTAGGCTGTTGTGTTTTGATGAACTGTGTCGTTTTTTAAAAAAAACTCTCCTAAAGAGCGCTGACTTTAATGTCTGCAAGAACGGGAACGACAAAGTTCTCTTCTCACTGATGATGCAAACGTTTCATTAAAGTCGGAAGTGAATTTTAATCAGTGCCTGCTTGTGTTGGTGTCCCCCCCCCCCAGATACCCCTCCTCCTCCATGGAGGAGTGTCGTTCAGGGAAGATCAGGTGACGTGGCCACGGAGCTGACGGACGACAGCGCGGGGTTAAAATCACGTCGTCGATCAGAAACGCTGGGACTCGTTTTAAACAAAACATCGATTCTGTTAATAACCGTAGGCTGTTGTGTTTTGATGAACTGTGTCGTTTTTAAAAAAAAAACTCTCCTAAAGAGCGCTGACTTTAATGTCTGCAAGAACGGGAACGACAAAGTTCTCTTCTCACTGATGATGCAAACGTTTCATTAAAGTCGGAAGTGAATTTTAATCAGTGCCTGCTTGTGTTGGTGTCCCCCCCCCCCAGATACCCCTCCTCCTCCATGGAGGAGTGTCGTTCAGGGAAGGCTGTCGCTTGTTATTTCTCTGCTGCTTTTGAAAACTGATGTGACACCGATGTCACACTACGGTCAATGTAGAGATGATGGAGAGGATGGAAGAATCCTGACCTTTGACCTCATGTGTACGCTCGGCTGTCCTCTCACCTTGTGAACCTGAAGGTGTTCTCACTTTGATTGTAGTGAGATTTTAATCATTCAATAAATGAAATGATGTTTTTACTGTTGCTACGTTGACATTTTTGGCACAGCTTATCAATAAAGTTTGGAAATCCCAGCTCGCCTCCTGGTCTCTGAGTTACGATCAAAACGTTAACTTACACTGAACCTCCTGGAGGTTCTTTAGCTCAATTCAAATTGGTGTGACAAATGATTTTTTTAATCATAAAAAGACTGTAAATACAGCCACAAGATGGACGTATGGATAGCTAGCAGTAGTGGCTAACCTTAATCCTGCAGTGCCCCCTATCTGTCAGACTTCTGACCCAGACCAGACGGGGACGTGGGGAACATCTACATCAATTCAATATTCAGAGTTGATCACCAGTGTTGTACTACTGGTCATTGTCCAGACGCAACATGTAGAGACTTGAAACTAATTCAACCCACCGGACATGCTATGTCTCCCCACAGGGCCCTGCCCCTCAAGTTTTTCCCTGTGACAGGGAAAACGATAAGCAAAAGAAAATGATTTTAAAAAGCCAGGTGGTTGTTGACTGTAGCATCAGGGGAGTGTGGTTTGGTACGGGGGCTGGGCGGATGTTCTAATGACTCCACTGAGGACGGAGACGAGAGTCAGATCCTGAACGACACTTTGAGTTTTTTTTTTTTCAGCCAACATGGCAATCAGAGATTCTCCAGTAGACCTGACCTCGATTCCTGTGGAAGGTGAGAGAGCAGCAGAGCTGTCACTCGGGGGGTAGGGGGGTGTGGGTGGGGGGGGCGTCAGACTTCTGACCCAGACCAGACGGGGACGTGGGGAACATCTATCAATTCAATATTCAGAGTTGATCACCAGTGATGTTGTTGATGAGTCAACACCAAAACAAAATTAATTGTAATTATGTTTAATGACACTTTGATTAGTTTAAATAAATAAATATTTGTAAGTACAGTTGGATTTTTTTTTTTTTACTATTTATTTATTTATTTACTTGAACCACCAGATCAAGTTTAGGTTCAATTTGTTTTGATACAGTACCTAAGATTAACCCTGCTGGAAACCAGCCAATCAGCAGCCTTCTCTCAGCTCATTAAAAACAGTCAGTGTGAAGGACACGCTGATTGCTAATCGGTGTATCTGTGTGTGTGTGTGTGTGTGTGTGTGTGACTCCCCCTCACCTGGCATCCTTTCTAGTCCATTTAAGGAAACCCCTCTGATACAGACACAGGCGGTTGCTACGGCAACCGGCCCTCACTTCACTTCACTTCTCAGGCGAGAGATGTGAGTGTGGAAGGAAGGAGTGTAAAAGCAGAGAGTTCAAAAAGAATATGAATTTCTAATGCAATCTCGTCTGTGTCTGCCTCGGTGTGTGTGAGTGTGTGTGTGTGTGTGTGTGTGTGTGTGTGTGTGGGGGGGTGTGTGTGTGGGTGTGTGGGAG